TGTGGTTTCAAACCTAGAAACTATGCATTGCCTCAAAGACATTCCTTGGCCTTTCGACAATAAATAAAACCAGGTGAATCAATTGTTTTTCTTTACTTACGTAAAAGTGTTTAACTGGCTTTAGCTTACAAGTCGTTGCTCATGAAAATTTTGAAGTATATTAATGACACTGATTTTTGAATGCTTGTTAGCACTAGAAAGTTATCCTGGATTGAAGCAGACTATTAATTACAACAGCTATTTTTAAACAACTCTACCTGTGATCCTGCCTATTTGAGAAATGAATGTCACATTAAAAGGACATGAAACCACTTTCAGCTACTTCTGAATAACCTCATCAGTAAACAAGCTGTTTTAGCCTATCTTCTACTTTGACAGATCGTCCAAGATACAAATTTTGTCAATAAAAACAAAATGTTCTTTTTAAAAGTTAAAAAAGTCACAGCAAACAAACACAATGTAACTTCTAAACAACTCCCTAGTTTCCTGTCTGTGTCTGTCTCTCTCCTCCTCCCACCCGACATAAACAGATCCAGCTTGCAAGATGCTGACCAGTAATGAGAAAAACTGCACATCTATCACACTCACTGCCTCCGGGGGAGGTAAGAGCGCATAGGTTTTGCAAAACCGTGTTCAAACTATGGGTATAAAACTCAATAACTTAGAGGAAGGCAACAAAATACATGATGAGTATTTATCATTCCTAATACAGGTCCTGGTTTCTACCCTGCCAAAAATATGCAGAAGAAACACTGAAACAGTGGTTCTCAAAAACGCCCAGGTGAAGATTGTTCCTTGGAAGGGAAACAGTCAAACAGACAGTGTTTTCACAGGAATATCTTATTATTGTGTCACACAGCAGCTTATAAGAAAGTTTGAAAGTTGTTGGAAGGAATACTGTGGTTTTACTCCCAGGGGAACCAGAGACATTATTGTGCCATTGGCCTGCTTCACTACCATGTGTGTTTTACACTTACTAACTCTCACTGTGTCCCTCAACATTAAATTTACACCAACTCTGAATGTTACCCAATCAATTTATGTATATAAATTGTTTTAGATAAACCTATTTTTAATATACTGGGAGGCTCTTTTAAGTGGTCTTATACGTTTCTTGTTGCATTCTACAGTGCTGCTGTTGTACATTTTCCCCCTCTAACATAAAATACATCACAATATCCACACTTTATATGTATATCAAAATGTCTACTGTTTCCAATGTCAAGTAGATTGTATCTTCTGTAACTCAGATACAAAATTAAGTAAAAGGGGAAAGGGAATAAATACTGCAAAGAACATTAAAAAAAAAAAAGCACCATGATTGTATTTACTGTACAATAAGATTTTACTGCCCATTTTCCATTTAATTTAACTGTTTATGTAACAGTCCTAACCTTATAGCTCAGCATGAGGGACACACGAGTAGAAGAGGGAGAGAGGCAGTATATTAGAGAGCTTCTTTAAATTCAGAAGAAGATTGGTCATCGTACACATATATTTAGATTTCTATAATAAACATGGTCAAAATTACTGAACTTGAATACATGAAGTGGGATAGTCAGATTCTGCAGCTTCAGTGGCTTAAGAAACTTCCAAGAATACATCCAAGGAAAAATCTTGTCATTGGCCTCATTTGGCTGAGGAGAGAGCCAGAACTAAGATGTCATTGCCTTATTCAAGCCAGATGAACAGAGATAAAGGGACAACTGAAAGTGATTATGGTAGGCAGAATTTCAAAATAAGACAGAGGAAACATAATAGAAACTGAAAACTTGGGACCTTGAACCCACCTCAGTGTCTATTGTCTTGAGAGACTTGATCAAGTTTTAAACTCAAAATCTTAGATTTAAAAGTAAGTTTACAATATCTACCATTAAGACAAGTGTTTTTGTACCTATTTTAATGTTTTAATAGAAAAAGGGTGCTGCTGACTCAGGTTTTATTTCATGTGTTTTAACATAGCCCTGTGTGATATTTCACAACTAGAAACATTGCAGTCATGCCAATGCAGGAAGGGGAACTAGAAAATGCAATCCATTAAAAAACAAACCTGAAACTCATTCATTCAGTAACTGGCAAAGTGAAACGCCGACATAAGCAAACAGCATCAATGGTGAAAATACACAAAAATCTTAAATACTAAATTGGCTTAAGTTTTAGTCATCTGAGGTATCATAAGCAACACAGATAAGATTTTTTTAAAGAATATATGACTTTAATTGACTTTGTCCCTTTAATGATAAATTTACAATGAAAATGACATGTCCACCATAATTTTGATATACAACATAGCTACCACCAATTTGCTGCAAATGCCTTTGCATTATATTTGTTTGTGGCAGAGAAGTAGATTTGACGAAAATAAATTCTTATACACATCCACCCTTGTGGGATTAATAGCAAGATGAAATATTTCAAATTAAATAAATTAAGATAAAAAATCATATAAAATAATATGAACATTCCTCCTGCATCTCCTCAAGCAAGTTTTTCCTCAGCACACTAATACACCAACCATCATAAGAAAAAAAGTGAAGAAACAAAATGTGTTTATTGAGAATGAGGCAAAAGGATCCAATTGACATTGGCCTGATTTTTACCTTATAGATTGGGGTAATAACTTTTCCTAACTTCCAATATTGACGTCGGTCCACCCCCAGAACTCTGAGTCCATTTGTATTGGGAAGAGCACACATGGCTAATAGATACATGGCACCCGTGTAACTTCTGGTGCATTTGCTGATCCTCTGAGGCCCCTCTCCCAAAGGCTGTCAAAGATGCTAGTGGCAACTCCTCTGATACTTGCCACGGACAGGTCAAGTGGAGACGGTTTTGTTTAATTTGGAAGAGTTTGCTCTGCCATCTCTCCGTGCTCCCACAATGTGTACTCAAGCATTAGTGGACAAGTACATCAAATAAATATCAGATGAAAGCACCCAAAATAGGCTGGATAACGCAAAGAAAGGATATATTTTAGTGTATGGTCAAAGAAGATATTCAAAGCCTCCATTGTTGCTTCTAGAAATGTCAGGACAATTCAGAAATGTCAGTTCCTTTACCGGTTTCCAGATTGTAATTGAAGGATCATGTAGCTCTCTCGCTCTTTGTCTCTCTTTCTCTTTCTCTAAATAGGTCTATAAAGATCAGCTGGAAAGTGCAGACGGAATTGTTCACTGGTTAGCTTTACTTAGAGCTACAGGGTATATATGTGCTTTGTTTTGTCTTATTGATCAATCTAGCTTACATTTTTAGCACACACAAACAAAAATCAGGAAAAAAGAAAAAGTCGATGAAAAACACGAACAACACAAAACAAATAAGGTTCCAATCGTGCAAATTTTGCTTCACTGGATAAAGCACTTCTTGACACAGTAATGTCCAGAATCCCCCTCCCCCAGAAAAATACAGGACTGAGACTGAAGCCATTCTTTTTTTTTTATCCTTTTTTTTTTTCCTTTTTTTTTCTTTTTTTTTTTCTTTTTTCCTTAAGGCTATACAACACAAAGAAATAAAGCATGGAAAGAACACCTCATTGGGCTGAACACTTCATTCTTCTGGCTCTGGAGTGAGCCTTTGACAAAGCAATTGTGTGGTCCAAGTTACTTGTCTCACTGGGACAACAAGAGAAGAAAAAAAAAAGAGGAAAAAATGAAAGAGAGGAAAAAAATAAAAAAGAATAAGAAAGTCAATGATCCCAACAATAAAATCCAAAATTGACTTTACAATCACAGGTACAAATTGCTCAGGTCGATAATTTCATTTCTCCTAAAGATCACTGTCGTCTAAAACTAATTAGAGGCGCAGGTTCCCGAGGAATTGTCAATATTCAAAGCAAATGTTGGAGTTTAGAAGGTTATCATTCTTCTACCGTGACAGTCTGACGGGGTGACTGGAAATACTGTCATGTGCTGCCAAGTTCAGGGTGTCGTTAACAATTGAATCCTTGCTCCGGCTCATGGATCTGTCTCCTATTTGGCCTTCTTTTATAGCGGAAAGACTAAGAAGCCGGAAAAGGTTGAATATTTCCACCCTCCCATGAGGTTACCCCTTTCCAGTTTGAGATGCACTTTGTCTTCTCTTTCCATGTGGAGCAAGACCCCATTGCTGGCTGCTTCTCTGGTGACGTCCTGATCCCCTGCAAAAGCTGAAATCACTGGGTAGCCGTTTTGCATTAAACTTACCTAAAAAGTGCAAAGAGAGAGAATCTGACTTTTCTCAATACTCTCAATGACTCTTTTCCCTGTGCACATGACTTAACTTTCGTGCAGGTTAGAAACAGGGTTGAATTAAGCTAAGACAATGCGTAATTTCTGTCATGCATACAGATCCTCTTTACTAAAATAACCTACAGTCTCATTCTTCATTTGCTGGTTTTGTAAATGCACTTCAGTGTCTAGAAATGAGCATTTGGGGCACAAAAAAAAAAAAAAAAGGAAAGACAGCATCTTCTTTAGATCACAACCCACCTGGATGGTTTGCCTGTTATAGACCTTGACCACGTGGAAACTGAAACTATATATCCCTTTTCTTGGTGCTACAAATATACTGGAAGCAAGATCAAAATGGTTGCCAATATTAACTAATACCTGGAAAGTAAACAAACAGACAAAACAAAATAAAAACAAAAACGAAAATACAGAGAGAGAGAGAGAGAGAAATCAGACTCCACCTTAGAAAAGTGCCAGTGCAAATCTGACATGAGCTCCATGACCGATACAAAGCCTAGTCGAAATGGCATTTGCAGCACAATTAAAAGTGCATTGCAGGGGAAAGGAGCCAAGTTACAGAGGCATTTAAAAAGCATTACAGTTCATAAAACGATTTAGTTATGCAACAATGATCTCCAAAGCCTGTTAGATGAAGTGCAAATATCCACACTGCACTGTCAATAAAGCAAAGGTGGCAGAGGCGGAGGGGAGGTGGAGGGAAGGAAAGAAGGGAGGGGAAAGAAGTGAGGGGAAAAAAAAACACCGAACTCATCAACTCCCAATGTAAATGTATGTTTTTTAGGCAGCACTACTGAAATCGGACCTGCCCTCACATTTAATAGGGTATAAAATTAAAATCGCACTGCAGAGAGGTATGAAGGAGGAGAGAGGATGCTCAGTAACATCTGCCAGCGCATGCCTCTCTGTCCCTCCGGAGGGCTGTGCCGCCTGGCCCGCACCTTCCTCAGGCGGCCGGGGTGGGCCTGCTCCTCCTCCTGGACAATAATCTTAATTTGTCACATATTTCAGTGTCTTTTGAAAGAAAGAAAAAAGAGAAAGAGTTGAGCTCTCCGGCAGATGTGCAAAGCCTCACTCGGAAGCGGCCCCGGGCGGCGGCTGGGGGTGCGGCGCCCGCCGATTCGGCGGGGATCCAGCCCCGGCTCCTCCACTCGCTCCCTTTCCAGACGCCAGCGACGGGCAGCCTGAGTTGGCTCAAAAGACAGGGGTAAGGAGGGGAGAAAAACCCGCTTGTTCTTGGGGATGCCATGCGGCGAGCGAGTGGGTCCGAGACGGCTGCTCCGCCGTGCCTGCTCCCGGGGCGCCCCGGCCACGCTCAGCTTGGCGGGCTACAACCTCTGTTTCAATGATGAAAAACACGAGGAAACAAAAACAAAAACAAACCCCCCCAAATCCCGAGCCTTTCTTCCCAAATAGACAAATCCTATTGTTTCCAAGAAAGGAAAAAAAAAAAAAAGAAAAGAATCCGTTATTGTGGGAGCACCGAGGGACGAACGCCTCCAGACTCTTGAGAACTGAGCATTGCGGGGTAAAGCACCTAAATATGCTATACATGATGCAAGTTTTTTTTGTTTCTTTGTTTGTTTTTTCCTCTACTGATCTGACTTGAGATTTTGTATGCGAGGAATAGTTGTGCAAACTCATTAGGAGGGACAGGTAGACAGATGAATGACAGGCGGACAGACAGATGAAAAAAACCAAACAAAACCAAACCAAAACAAAACAACAGAGAAAACAGTTTGCGTGTGCTAATTGTGGCTGACTGCAATACTACTTCAGGAGTCAGAGGCGGTAAGAAAAAAGTAAATTTCATGACAAAAATCAAGCGAAAGGACGGGGCACGGGCTCCGGGAGGCAAGCCGTGCTGCGGGGAAGGGGCAGGACCACCAGGCCGGGCTGTCCGCTGCTCTGCCCGGCGTATGCCATGCAGGAGAACGCCGCTCCGTTATAACCCACCGGGGACATCGTTCGCCTCGTTTGATAACGCGGGAAACACCCTCTTCTTCCTCAGCCCTCCCTCCCCCTGAAAGATGCTGTAACATTGCCAAACGCGCTCTGAACAGGTAGATCTGGCGACTCCCCACCAGTAAATCTCTGTCCTCCCCTTGCCCTGAAAACGAGCATTACCGCCGGAGCACCGACGGGGCGACGGGCACCCTTCCCCCCGCGTCGTCCCTGATCGCCCGGGGCAATCCTCGGCTGCAAGGCGCCCCCGCAAGCGTCCGAGGCACACAGGTTCTCGGGTTAAAGAACTCTTCGAACTACCGATGGGGCCGGGCAAGAAGTCAACGCCCCCCCTTCCCAC